GGCCAGACAGCCCGTCTCTGGCTTTCCCGACCTAGGGTCTCCACCAGCCTCAGGGCTGTGGCCAGAGCTCCACCACCTCCACCTCACGCTCCTGCTGCCTGCCCCTCCCCAGGGCGCACACAGCAGTCCCTGTGCCACCCATGCCTATGGAGGTACCCAGTTCTCTGAGGGGCCTCCCCAGCCCCTGTCTCCAAACACCCCACACTTCTTTCCTGCCTTGGGAGTGGGAACCCCCATCCCCACGGCACTTTGCTCACCTCCCCTGACACCCTCCTAGCTCCTGTGGGTTTCAGAGCCATCGACATACATCTGACCTCCTCGCTCTGCTCAAGAGCCTCCTCTGGCTCCCCAGTGACCTTTGGCTGGAAACTCAGCTGCTTCCACCACACCCAGGCCCTCTAGACCTGCACCAGCCCCTGCTCCCCACTCTGTATGCGCCCAGCCCTCCTGGCTCCCTGGGTCCTCTCTGTCTGTCCTGCAGTTCCTTCTGCCTGGATACCCTTCTCTGCCTTCCTGCCACCAGCTCCCCTGTCCTTCCTCCCTGCCTTGGGCCCTCTTTGTCTGTGTTCCCAAGGCCCTGGACAGCCCCTCCATGGTCCCTCATCTGCAGCAGCCCCTGCTTCAGGGTTCCTTGGGGCTGGGACGGCACCTTGCCCGTCACTGAGATGTGATGCCCGGCTCAGCCCCTGCATGCAGTGAGCACTCTCTACACAGTGCTCAGAGGGCCAGTTTGGGGTCTCCCAGCTCCCTGGGCTGCTACAGGGCAGGCACTCCGGGGCCTTCCCTGAGAGGGAGTTTCAGGCTCTTCTGGCCCCAGAGTCCATCGGGACCTGCTTCAACACAAGTGAGTGTCAGCAAGTAGTTGAGAAGCGGGGGCTCCACGAGAAGAACACCCAGGGCTGCAGGCATGTCTCCTGGGTCCTCCCCAGCAATGTGGGGAGAGCCGCACCATGCATGTGCACATGTGTGTCGATGTGGTCGTGCAGGTAGGCATGTGTGTGTGCCTGCAGGGCTGTGCTGTGTACAGGCATGTGTGTATATGTATATGCACATGTACACACATGCCCATACACATGTACACACACGTGCATGGCTGCATGTGTACATACGTGTGTAGGTGTGCATGTGTGGCTGTACATGTGTGCAGGTGTCTGTGAGGGTGTAGGTGTACATGTGTGCGGGTGTACATGTGTGCAGGTGTGCACTGTGTAGTTGTATGTGTGGGGGTGTACATGTGTGTATGTGTAGGTGTACATGTGTGGTGTGCATGTATGTGTACATGTATGGAGGTGTACGTGTGCGGGTTTACATGTGTGGGGTGTACATGTGTGTGGGTGTGCATGTGTGGATGTACATGTATTAATACATGAGCAGGCCTGTGCATGTGCATCTGTGCATGTAAAACTGTAGGCACATATGTCTGCATGTGTGTGTGCAAACACAGTGCACCTCCATGTGTGTGTGTGTATGCACCCAGGTGTGCAGGTATGGACCTATGCGTATGGGTATGTGCATGTGTGTATGCAAGTGGGTGTGTGCGAGTGCGTGCGTGCACATGTGGGTGTGTGCCTGTGGTTGTGTGCAGGTGTGTGTGTGTGCATGTGGGTGTGTGCATGTGTGTGCATGCAAATGTGTGTATGCGGGGATGTGCGTGTGTGCATGTGGGTGTGTGTGTGCATACACAATGCACCTGTGTGTGTGCATGCATGGAGGTGTGCAGGTGTGGGCCTGTGCATGCAGGTGTGTGTGTGCAGGTATGTGTGCACTTGGGTATGTGCGTGTGTGCGTGCATGTGGGTGGGTGCAGGTGTGTGCATGCATGTGTGTGTGCACGTGTGTGTGTGCATGCAGGTGTGTGTGCGGGTGTGTGCTGGTATGTGTGCAGATGTGTACACACACGAGGGCTGCCCACTCCATTGGTTTCCTCAGCACAGGCCTGGGAGGAGCCCACGGTTTAACATTCTGCAGGTTCCTGTTTCTTTTCTGCTGAGTCGTTGAAGCGGCCTGTGTGTAACACTAGCAGCACCTGCCCCGCTGTGAAGCGGCCACGGGGCAGATGATGCTGAAGGTCCCAGAGTCCCCTTGGTGGCCTGGGCAGCTGTTTTCCTGCAAATAGGAATAGTCACATCTCATGGAGCCATAGGAAGGGAGGGTGCGCGGACCCAGGAAAGCCTCAGCCCGCCCCTGGCCCCAGGAGGGTTCAGAGCTGCCCAGTGTCCCGGTGCCCTGCCCCTGCCGGGCAAGTCTTGGTCTCTAGCTTCAGCTCACCATATACGCTCCTCTGGCCAGCTGCAGATCTGCTCTGGGACCTTGCCTGGCGCCCACGGAGCTGTGTCCTCATCTGTGGCGCCGTCCCCCGTGGTCCCGCCCCCCCGCAGCTTCCCTGCGTCGCGCTCTGGGCTCGGAAGGGCAATGGCGCCCCCTACTGGGTGTGGAGAATAGGGGCTGATGCTGGGCCGAGAGCTTTCTCTTTCCTGCGAGATCTGAGCCTCCAGGCAGGTCCGGGACAGTCAGGGGGGCCAGAGGACACCTGGGCAGCCCCTCCTGAACAGACAAGCAAGGGAGGGGGCCTGACCTACCGCGGAGGGCAGGTCGCATCAGACCCTGGGGCGTCTGAGCCGGGCCTGGCCGGTGGATTTGGGCAAATAGAAAATGTCCTGAGGTCGCTGTCACAGGAGGCGCTCCGAGCTGCCTCCCCCAGGCCAGTGGAGCACGTGTTCCAGGCAGGAGGCGCTCTGGACAGGGCGAGACAGGAGGACACAGCCCCAAGCTTGACCGGCTCTGTCCTCAGCCAGGACAGCCTGGGACGGCGCACAGGGACAGCCTCCCTGTGGGGACGCTGGGGTTGCACACTGTCCCCAGGGAGGTAGCCTGCCCCTCCCCGTGTGGCCCCAGCACCCTCATGTCCCACACTGTCCCCAGGTGTGGGTGACACCCCCCATGGGCACCGAGAAAGGAGAACTGTCCAGACCCCAGGCACAACTACTGCCTGAAAAATATAGTGGTGTTGCTCAGCTGTTTCCTTTATATAATCCTGCATATATAATCATATATTAGTTTATAGAATTAGTGCTTGAAGTATAACTTACTGCTTACATATGTCTAGTTTATATAATCATACTTAATACTTATATCTAGCATACTTAGTTCCATATAATCTTTCTACATGACCATATAGGTATTGTAGTCGGAGCTGCACTGACACATTTAGTGCTGATTTATAGAATCCTTCCATGTAACCGTATAGTAGTTTGTAGTAGGAGAAATGCCTAGAGCAGTCACAGAACAGAAGCAGTACATGGGAAAACAGCCAGACCAGGACGAGAAGCAGAGACCCAGGCGGTGGCGTCCCTGCCTGAAAGGGCATACGCTGTATGGCAGGCTTGGAGCAAGAGCCTCTCCTCCTGATAAAGGAATTGTAGCACCTTGCATCCAGTTCCTGTGGAAAGTAGGCCTCAGGCCTTAGATCCTGGAAGTAACCGAGGGAGAAGAACCCCTCTGGTGTGACCAGTCACAGTGGCTGTACACCCTGTCAGTCTTTTCTCACTTCTGTGCTATCTCAAATCATCCTCCCATAAATATCTTAAGAGAAGAGCACAAGTCTGTCAGCTCCCACTGCATTGGCTTATAATATCCTTCTATTAGAAACGCTTTGAAATCTCCAGCCCCAGATAAGAAGTATTGCACACGACACCTGTTGCACACAGCCCACCTCCTTGCCTCAGTGACCTAATGGGGGGTGGACCCCTTTTCTGTACACGACCCTCTACTACTGTGCATGGCACGGACACCTACTGCACACGGCCCACCTCTCGGCCCAGGTGACATATGGGGTGGTTCCCTCATTTGTGACTCACGTGATTATGTATGCCCTATTACTAAGCCTATAGATGATGGCCTCACTCATGACCCTGCCCCCTACTTGTACCTAATAAATACAGATGCTTCTGCGAATTTGGGGCCGCCGCTGATCTCCGCTCACAGGTGGCGAGCCCCCGAGTCCAGATGCTCTTCACCAGTTCTTCAGTGTCCTGTCTCTTTACCTCTCGGATCCTGCACCTCAACATGGCATAAGGGACACCCCACGACCCTGTGGGGCCTTCACAGCCCTGCACTCAAGGAGGCTGCCTGTCCCCTCCCCATGCAGCCCCAGCAGCCTCATGGTCCACACTGTTCTCAGGGAGGGAACCTGTCCCCTCCCCGTGCAGCCCCAGCAGCCTCATGTTCCACACTGTCCCCAGGTGTGGGTAACACCCCCCCATGGGCACTGAGGAAGGAGAACTGTCCACCACCCTTATCCCAGGGGTGCAGCCGTAAGCTCCCTCCCCTCGGCCGCCGTGCACACAGGCTCCGCAGCTCGAGGCTGATGGCAGAGGTGCTGCAGTGCGCCTCCGTGTGCAGCCCCAGACCTGCTGCCTCTTGAGGGTGGTAAGTGGTTTGTGGAGGGACAGCAAGCACAGGAACCCAGAGACGGCTTCTGTCTACACAGTCAGGGGAAAGCCTCAGCCACACTGTAAGGCCAGGGAAGGCGTGGAAAAGAAAACTCGAGGGGTTTTGTGACCTGATGTCGCTTCAGAGACTGGGGCTGGGACTAGAGGGATCACGGTGGGCTTCCTGGAAGAGGTGGGATAGCAGGTGGTGCTCGTAGGATGCACAGCACTGGGGCCTGGAGTAGGGAAGGCATGAATGGCTGAGAAGCGAGTCACACAGATGGTGGCTGTGGGGGGCGGTGGGTGCAGCTGGCACTAACTTTCAGGAAGGGAGCAGAGGCCAAGGAGGCTGCTGGCGGCAGTGCCGTGTCTGGCATCTGGAGTGCAGTGGGCACACTTGGCAGACCTGGGACAGCCAGGGAGAGTGCTGATCACCCACACCCCTGCACCCGTTCACCCACACCCCTGTACCCCCTCACCCACACCCCTCCACCTCTCACCCACACCCCTGCACCCATTCACCCACACCCCTGCATCCCCTCACCCACACCCCTGCACCCACTCTCCTTTGGTCCTAGACATTAGGTGCTGCAGACTGGGAGGTCTTCCACATCGGGGAGAGGATCTTCCTCGCCGTGGCCAACAGTCACAGCTACGATGTGGAGATGCAAGTCCAGAATGAGTCCTACGTCATCAACTCTGTCATCTACGAGCTGAATGTGACCGCGCAGGCCTTTGTCAAGTTCCAGGACATTCTCACCTGCAGGTGCGTGCCGCGGCGGACTGGGGAGGGTGGGCTGATCTCTGGGATGCTCATCGTGTCGGAATCCCCGTTAGTTCTTCCTCACCATCCTTCCCATGCAAGGACTGGCCTGGGAAAGTCAGTGCCCCCCTGAGCTCTTGGTTCCCAGAGCTCTGCAGGCTCATACCCGTCGCCTCCTTTCATCCAGGCAGTGGAGGGGGAGGGGGCTTCATGCCTGTCATGCAGAGGGGCAGCTGAGGCCCCACAGGGGCAGGTTCGAGGTGCAGGTGTCCAGCAGCTCTTCTGACCATCGCCCATTGCCCGCTGGTGCCTGCTGCCATGGCAGGGTTACCCCCTTCCCCAGAGGCTGCATCCTCCTCCTCAGCAACACCAAGACACCAAGACAGGCATGTTGAGACAGACGTGAGACCCAGGGAAGCTGGAGGGGGTCCATATGTAGGACAGGGTCGGGCTCCAGATGACACGCTCTGCAGGGGCCACAGGAGGTTGTGTGGACACTGAGAATCCATAACTGTCTTGACCAGCATGGGGCCTTCTCTGGGGTGGAATTCACAAGTCTGTGACTAAAACTGCAGTTGAATCCATATGACTCAGACCCCAGAGCTGGAATCCGGCCCATGCCCACCCTGGGATGGAGCAGGCAGCTTTTCAGGTTCCCTTGGGTTTCATTCACTCCTGTTTCACTTAACGACTCACCAGCCCCTCCTGGGCACTGGGCTCTAGTCCCAGCCTGAGAGTCACAACGACACTTGGAGGAGAAAAGTCTCCAGGACAAGCTGCTCTGCGGAAAGGCGGGCTGCGGTGCAGCGAAATCTCGTGACCCAGGCACCGAGGAGCCGGCTGGCGTGTGTGCCACCTAGCTGTGCGCGCCCTCGGAGGCACGGAGAAGGCTCTGGAAGGGAGCGCCCCCCCAGCAACCATCACCCCAGGACCGGGCGGGCTGCAGGACGTGCAGGCAGGCCAGGAAGGACTTTCCCTACTTGCCCCATTACTTCTGAACTGCTGGTTTTGCAAAGGTCTACAATGTTAGCTTACTAATATCTTACTTAGATGATTTTTAAACTTTTTTTTAAAAAAGCCTCAGAATAAAGAAAAAGAGCCAGTAGCGGTGCCTGCTGTGGGCACTGGGGATTCCAGGGTGGCCCCTGCGTGGCCTGGCAGCCGTGGCAGGAGGAACGGGCACTGGGCGGCAGCGGCAGCTGCGTGTCCACAGCACGAACCCACGCCCTCCAACGTCCACACCAAGAGCAACCGTAGACGAGGCATTTTAGAACAACGTTTAGAATAAGACAAGCTGGAGAATGAACTGTGATTCTAAATTAGTCGTGGGATGAAATGTGCCTCATGGAGACGGAGCCAGTCTGGAAATGGATGAGGCAGACGCCTCGGTGTTTGAAGCTGTGGAGCCAACAGAACCCAGCTACACCACAACTTACGGCTGTGTCACCCCTGGGCGGTGGTGTGGACAGTTCATGAACTAAATCATGAAACACAGAAAGTACTTACTAATTAATTAAGGCCATGTTTAATAATTACTGTCAAAACAGCACACGAAAGCCAAACTCCTGGCCCTTCTCCCCAGTATGGGGGGGTCCCTACACTTCTGGAAGGCTCCATGTGGCCTCACCAAGTCCAAAACCCTCTCCAGGGCAGCTGAGGGGTTCCTCAGAGCTGTGTGACCTCAGCTCTCACTGCCTTCAAACGGCCTGCTGTGTTTGCTTTTTACAATTCAATGGTTTTGTTAAATCCACAGATATATGCAGCCATTGCTGCAGTCAATTCTGGAATATTCTCATCCCCACAGAAGGAGCCCCCTCACTCTTTGCCAGCCCCTTCCCTCCCCCTGGGCAGTCCCAGTCCACTTCCTGTGTCTGTGATTCCCTGTTCTGGACACTGCACGGAAATGGACTCGCAGAGCTGTGGCCTCTGTGCCTGGCTTTTTCTCACAGCACTGCGTCCTCCAGGTTCATGGCGTGGCTGCACAGCTCAGAGTGTCCCCCTTCTTGTGGCTGAGTCACGCTCCATCCATCCATTTGCCGCAGATGGGTGTGTGCGTTTCTGCCTTTTGGCCAGAGGGCGAGATTCTGAGGAATAACACTGTCCCTGGCAGGTGTGGCCAGGGCTGCTTTGGAGGCAGAATCGGGGACTCGCTCTAGATGCCTTATTTTGCGGTTAAAGCGAAGCTGGCTTCTGACATGAGCCTCAGTGCAGCCATACAGGACCTCCTGCCACTGCTACCTCCCATGGGGCCGCCAGTCTTCCTCGGTCCTGGGTTTTAGGGCTCAGGTCCAATTGAGGAGTCACACCGACCCGGGGCCCGTGGCTGTGCCTCCAGACCAGGGCACGTGATTGCGGGCATCCTCCTCCTCCCGGCGAGCTGGCACAGGCTCCATGGGGACCAAATTATAACCCACCAGCAATAGAGGTGGCTCCAGATGTCACCCTGACTGACTGAAGGAGTGAGGAGCCCAGGGCCCATGGGCTCTGCCGGTCTCTGGACACCTCGAGGCTCCCTGCCTCTCCTAGGGACCTTTCCAAGCCACTCTTGCAGGTGGCCCCTCAACTGCCTCCAGGGACGCTCTGAGATGAGGCCCAGCAAGGGAGGGGCTCCTCCTGCTGCCTCAAGTGGCCACAGCCCTGAGGCCGCTGAAGCAGAGGGCCGGCCTGGCCTGCATGTCAGCAAGACGCCAACCTGTGCAAGCCTTCCACCTCCATTTCCTCATCTCAAGATGAGGGGCTGATGCTGACAGCTCAGCAGGTGGGCTCCTGGGGGGAAGGGCTCCCGGAAAGCCAGACCCCTCAAACCGAGCTGACTCCAAGCACAGATTCACGCTTGGCAAATGCAGGCGAGGCTTACGCCTAAGACAGAACTCAGCAAAGTTGTCTGCAACAAGAAACAGCATCCACCTGCAGGTCAGCATCTGTGACCCCGCAGGTCCTGCAGGCCCCTGCTGGAGTGACCTCACGCTGCTGACCTCACAGCTGAGGACATGATGCTGAGAGAAGAAGCCAGGCGCAGTGGCCATGGCGCTGCGACTCCATCTCTGCGCAGTGTCCAGAACGGGAAATCAAGCCCCTACCTGCAGCAGGCGCCGGAAGCCTGGGACTTTTTCTCTCATTGTTTCAAGCTCTTAAAAGTGGACTTTTCTACCCCGGTGTTCACAGCAGTGTCATTCACAGTAGCCACATGGAGGAAATTACCCAAGTGTCCCTCTGAGGATGGGTGGACGAACACAATGCATCCATTCACACAGCGGAAACTTACTCAGCCTCAAAAAGGAAGGAAACTCGGACACACGCGACAATACAGTTGAGCCTTGAGGTCACTGGTGTCTGAGCTACGTCAGACACAAAAGGACAAATACCGTGTGATTCTATTTCTATGCAGTCCCTAGAGTAGTCAGATTCATAGAGACAGAAAGTGCAGTGGTGGGTGCTGGGCTGGGGAGGGACGGGGTGATGGCGACTGGAGGGAGAGCTTCAGCTCTGCAGGATGAAGAGTTCTGCAGGGGGACAATGGTGACGGCCGCACAGCAGTATTAATGTGCCTCAAGCCCCGATCCGTGCACCTAAAGATGGCTGAGGTGGTACATTTTATGTTACATATATTTGACTACAATTTAAAATTTGGGGCCGGTCACAGTGGCTCGTGCCTGTAATCCCAGCACTTTGGGAGGCCAAGGCGGGCAGATCACTTGAGGCCAGGAGTTTCAGACCAGCCTGGCCAACATGCTGAAACCCCATCTCTACTAAATATATAAAAATTAGCCAGGTGTGGTGGTGCATGCTTGTAATCCCAGCTACTCAGGAGGCTAAGCCAGGAGAATCGCTTGAACCTCGGAGGTGGAGGTTGCAGTGAGCTGAGATCATGCCACTGCACTCCAGCCTGGGCAACAGAGGGAGACTCCATCTCAAAAATAAAATAAATAAAATAAATTTTGAAATATTTTTAGATAAACAACTAATTTACATTTTCCTGGAATAGACCAACTCCTCTGTGACTTTGAGAAAACCACTCCCGACTTCGGGCCCTGGCTCCTCCTCTGTGAATTGTGGGGGTGGCTTCAGGCCAAGCCTCCGGTTCTCCAGCGATGTCCGTTGTGTGCTGATGCCCGCCCGCTTGTTCCGCAGTGCTCTGGACTGGGAGTTTTTCTCGGTGGGAGAAGATTCCTTCCTGGTGGTCGCTAACTCCTTTGATGGGCGCACCTTCTCGGTGAACAGTATTATTTACAGGTAATGAGCTGCAAGCCGGCCTCCTCCCAGCACCTGGCTTCCCCTGGGGGCTCGCCTCCTCTCACAGGGGCCCCGCAGCTCACAGCAAGTCCCAAGTCAGCTGCTGTTTCCCGAAACTGGCTGGGCCTGGTGGACGGCCCAGGGCTGGCTGCACGGGTGTCGGGGCTGAGCCGGCCCCTGCGCCGGGTGTAGCCATGACCCATGCGTGACGGCACTTCTGCCTCTGGAGCCTGGCAGGTATGTAGTGTGGACATCCTAGCCTCGGAGTTGTGGATATTTAACTTTTCTCTCATGGACGCTGTGGTGTTCTCACCACATTTATTTCTAGGAGTTTTCCAAGTATTCTAAGTTTAACGAATAGGGTTGGCTTTTTTTTTTTTTTAATTTTCATTTGCAGTTGCTCAGCATGACAATCATTTTTTGCATCTAGCCATCTCACCAAACTATGAGTTCTAATCTCTTTTTCTTAAAAAGATTCTCCGGAGAGTTAGAAATACAATTACATCTGAGAATAAAGAACATTTCCCCTTGATGTCTAGGGTTCTGACTGAGTATTTAGTTTGCTTCCCTAGCTAAAGATTCCAGAACAATCTTGGCTGGTGGCAGAAGTGGCAGCCGTCACACCCTGCGCTGGTTTAACGAGCGCACCTGAGCATGGCCGCTCGATGGGCTGCAGGCCGTCCCGGCCTGGGCTGGGGTCTCCTCCGGCATCTGCGAGGGTGTGGTGCCGTTCCACTACGCTCCTGCCCACGTCACGATTCAGAGTGAGACATTTCCTCCGGTTCTCGGACCTGAGGCCGCTTGGTGATGATGCACAATTATTTAATAAGCCGCTGACTTCCAATTGCTTATCTCTAAGCTTTTGGTGTCTGTAGCAGTGGTTTTCTTTTGGGGACTTAACTTCATCCCGTTTAAGACGAAGCCTTACGATAAATACATACTGCAGGCCTTTCTAACCACACCGTGGGCTGGGATAGTATGAATAGTAGGATTTTTCTCTCATTTCTGACAGCTCGGTTCAACTCAGTTATAAAGCCATCTGGGCCTGGTACCTTTTTAATAGTACCTCTTTTTTTTTTTCTTTGACAGGGTCTTGCCCTGTAGCCCAGGCTGGAGGGCAGTGGGTGCTCTCAGCTCACCACAGTCTGAAATGCCCGGGCACAAGCAATCCCCCCACCTCAGCCTCCCGAGTAGCTGGGACCGCAAGCATGCGCCACCACACCTGGCTAATTTTTGTGTTTTTAGTAGAGATTGGGTTTCTCCACGTTGGCCAGGCTGGTCTCAACTCCTGACCTCAAGTGATCTGCCCGCTTTGGCCTCCCAAAGTGCTGGGATTACAGGCACGAGCCATCATACCCAGCCACAAATGCCGTATTTGAAGGCAAGGAGAAAAGGATGCGTTACTTGATAATCCCATCTGATTCAGGAGATTAGCTGTAGAGGAAAACAAAGCTGTTCCCCTACTTCACGTTGTACACAAAAATGCATTTCATATGGATTAGAAGTTCAAATGTGAAAGAAGAGAAGCCAAGTGCGGCTGTATAACCTCAGGGTTCCATGAAGAAGCCAAGCCAGGAAGGAAAGGCCTCGGCTCTGGCTGCCTGTAAACAGCTTTACATGGAGACAGACGTCCCATTCAGAATCAAAAGAGAAACTTCCCCACACGCGTGACTGAAAAGGAACCCTTACAAACTAGTAAAAGATGAGAAAAACAGGCAAAAGATATGAATAGGAATTTTTAGAAGAAAAGTATGAATAAACATTATAAGCGATTTGTTCTCAGAGCAAAACCCTGACAGGTTTCCCCGAATTTATTTGGAAGCATTTTAAAGATGGACAGTGGAGAGGGTGGGGGGGATCCTAGCCTGCCCTTTTCCATGAGAACAGGAATCACCATGGCTTCTCCAGAAAGCAATCTGGAAGAATTTAATACTTTAATTCAATTTAAACAACTGGTGCCCTTTGATGTTGGCGCCCTGCCTCAGGGACTCCACGCCTCGGAAATGGAAGCCACTGGGATAAGTGAGTCCCTTTGAAGGCAAACCTCAGTGGCCAGCAGCTGCCTGGAGAGAGAATGAGGGCCGGGCAGCCCCTGAGTGGGGCCGCAGAGCAGCAGGCAGAGCGGGGCTCCTGTGTCTGAGGACAGAGGGTCTCCTGCCTGCGTGGTGGCCTGTGTGTGTTAGAGGGGCCCCGAGGGAGGTCACCTTGCACCTCATGGTCAAGGCCGGCCCTGGCAACTCCAGGTTTGGGAGCCCCTGGGGTAGGACCTTGGGTGGAGGGGAGCTAGCGCTGGGACCTGTGAGATCTGGGATCTTTCCTCTTCTGGGCCTCAGCCTCCTGCTTTGCAGGATGAGAAGGCCCTTGCAGCCCACAACTGCTGTCTCCATGCCGTGCCAGTTGTGGGGAACAGGAGAGGTCTGGATGGGACCCGGAGCTGCTGGGTCCCTGGCGGCGCAGGTGGGAGCGGGGGAGAGGAGCCGCCCCGCAGAGCGCAGGCTGACCCAGCTGCTGTCTGTCCCGCAGGTGGCAGGGCTACGAGGGCTTCGTGGCGGTGCACAGCCTCCCCACCGTGGGCTGCAGGGACTGGGAGGCCTTCAGTACCACGGCCGGCACCTACCTCATCTACTCCAGCGCCAAGGAGCCCCTCTCCAGGGTCCTGCGGCTGAGGACACGCTGAGGCCGCTGCCATCGGGAGCAGCTGGAGTGGCCGGATGGGGCGAGACCCCAGGACCTCCCGCTAAATGGCCCTGGACATCTGGTGGGCAGAACCTCGGGTAGCCGGGGCCTGGGCTGTGGGCAGGGTGCAGGTGGGGCCATCTGCAGCCTTGGTTCGGGCAGGAACATGTATCCACTTCTGAGCCACAGCCCCAGGGACAGCCTGGCCACAGCCCACAGCTCTGGGTCCTGCAGGCGGAGGTCCAGAGTCCCCACCAGCTCTTGCCCATCTGAGTGTCAGGCAGGGATTTCGCCACCAATGAAACGTTCTATAAAGATTTACCTCAAACAACAGGCCCTCAGGCTTGTGACCCCGAGCTGGCCTCGCACCGGCCCCTCCCGCTGTGTGCACCCAGCCGCCCGAGCAGACGTGGGCAGCCCGCGACGCTGCCCGCGATGCCTCCACCTATTTATTGTGTTTTATCTGAACAGAACTGTATTTATATTGCTCTTTACAAACCACTCTCAGCAGCGGGGGGGTACAGCCCTTTGCCACGGACACAGACAGAGGGCCACCTCCCCTGTACAGGGAGCAGCCTCCACCCAGCCTCAGTTTACCCATAAATGCACTGGGGCCAGGTCAGAAATAACAAGCCTGGGTGTGGCCTGGGTGGCACCCCCTCCCCAAGGTCCCACCCACAGGGACCTGAGTTCCCTGTGGAATTGCTTCTGGGCCCAGGATTTTTTTTTTTTTTTTAAAGACAGGGTTTCACCATGTTGGTCAGGCTGGTCTTGAACTCCCGACCTCAGGGATGACCTCAGGTGATCTAGCCGCCTTGGCCTCCTAAGTGCTTGGATTACAGGCGTGAGCCACCATGCCCGGCCCTAACGCCCAGGATTTCTTTTCCTCTTCAGCAGCATTTTAATGATGTGCCCTCCAGCTGACGGGACGTGGACTGCGTGCCTCCGTCTGCCTGTGTTCAGGCTGTCCTAGCCCCCTGATGGCAGCGTTCTCCACCGGCTCTTCTGTGGTCATCTTGTCTTTGCAGCCGGGAGAGCTGCATGTCCACCCGTCACAGGCAGCAGGGACAGGAGGTGGTAAGGGGCGCGAGGACCAGGGGCCCCTCCTCTCTGGTGGGTGCCAGAGAAAGCCTTCCCCTAGACGAGAGGAGGCTCAGACACCAGGCTCCGGGGCCACGCAGTGCAGACAGGCCCGCCGGGGTCTTCCCGGAACCGTGCTCCTGCTTCTGCGACACAAATCGGAACAGCAACGATCCCGAGAGAGTTTACAGTTCGCTTTTTCCGCCAATTGGAACTGCGGACAAAACTTCCTGCTTTCCGCACGGCAGCCATCCATTCGCCTTCAGTTCATGATGAAATGGGAGCCTCCCCTCGTCTGGCAAATAATGTGCTGTGTCCGCTTCAGCCAGATTTGGAGCCTTCGTGTTTTTCCGGGCTCAGGTCTTACTCCAGCCCTGTGGCCACGGGAGAGCCAGTCCCCTCCGAGGGTAGTCGCTGAGCGCCTCCTTCCCCTCTGTCCGTCGCCGAGGCTTTCCCAAGCCTCCTGGGCATGGTGGGGCAGGCCCTGCTTTCCTTACCCGTCACTCCGAGGGTCCCACTTGCACATAATTGGCCTCATTGGGTCAGCACTTGTGAAAGGAAGATAAAAACTCCAGACCCAGTTCACTCTACCAGGAAGAAAAAGTTAAGCTGCAAGCTGAGTCATGCAAGAAGCTGCCTTTCCCTTTGCCCCGAAGCAGACGGCCACGGCATCTCCACCAGCGGCCACGGCATCTCCACCAGCGGCTGCGCCGTGTGCACCTTGCCTCATGGAAAGCGCTGGTTTACTGAGCATGAGGTGAACACTTCACTGACTGCCCCCACCGGCTCCTTTTCCCCTGCATCTGGGGAGTCAGTCATGTGACCACACCCTCCCTCCACCCCTCCAGCTGGCCTTTCCCCCTCACTGAAGCCCTCAACCTCATCTTAGAGAAAGGCACAGACCTGTCCACTGAGTGTGTCCTTAGCTGTGGCAAAATAAACTTCTCCACCGACTGAGGCCTGTCTCGGGTACTTTCCTGGTTTGCAGACTCCGCCACGGGCTTTTCCAGCTGGGCCTTGTTCTCTCATTTCTCTGCACCGGCAGAGTGATTTGCTTCAGTTCACATGAGGCTGACAGTGGCACAAGCGTTCCAACTTCCATTTCAGCCAGACCCCTTCATTCCCCAAACTGTTCTAGATTTGGCCTTCTTTTGGAAATCAGAGCCTGGCTTGAGTAGCTGAAAAATCTAAGACCTTTGAAGTAAAGTTACCAAACACTCAGTATGCGGGTCACAAACTGAAAGTGTCCAACCAGTCTCAGTCGACTTACAGGGTTATGATGCCAAGGCTGAGCCTCTGCCTGGGTAGAAGCAGCGCCAGTCACGGCAGGACCTGTGGCCCGGCCTTTTCCAGAGAGCATTTTGGGGTGCTGGGTATTTACAAAAGGAAGAGAGGGGAGGGCAGGAGGGGGAGGGGAAAAGAGAAAAAGGGTGGGTAGGCAGTGAGGTGAGTGTTCAGGTTCCTGCGAGGCTTTGATGAGCTCTCGCTGAGTGTGCAAGAGGGCAATGGTGGGGGTTCCCAGGAAGCATCTAAATGGCCACGCAAAAGTTGACCCTCTTCCTTCCCGCCGCTTGGGTGACCGGCCCCGATGGGACTTTCAGCATCACAGTGGAAGAGGGGCCAGCGGAAGAGCAGGGCCATTTCCTGCGCTGGTCAGGATGTGCCTCCTCTGGACCGCATCTTCCTGGGGCTGGCGCACGGGGACTTTTCCAGCAGGGCTGGCCTGAGGGTGCTGGAGCTTTATTTTTGTGCTGGTGTAGGCAGTTTTCAGGCTCAGATTAAAGTCCCTTTAGCTGTGTATTTACCCTCCCAACAGCATTTTGTGAGCCCTTCTCCTGTCTGTCAGGGCTTGAACCAGTAAGCTTGGCAGCTCCAATTCCGAGACACAAAACCTGGCTCCAGCCAAGCCTCTTGGAGCTTCTCTGCGGCAGTTTTCATCGCCCTTTATCTTCCCCGCTTCTCCATTGTTGCTTTGCCGATGCGGGCGTCTGCCACCAAGGACCAAGGGAGACCCGGAAAAGGGGACGCACAGCGCTTGGGCTGAAGATTTTGGGAAGGATGTGGAAGCCGGGGGCTAACCAGAGGTTTCCGCGTCCTCTGCCAATCTCCCCTCTCTCCCCATCCCTGTGGTGCACTTCATTGGACACTGAAGCCAGGGTCCTGATCTAAGGGCCACGGTTCACCTAAAATTCCATCCTGGGCCGGGTGCCGTGGCTCACACCTGTAATCCCAGCACTTTGGGAGGCTGAAGCACAGGATCACCTGAGATCAGGAGTTCAAGACCAGCCTGGCCAACATGATGAAACCCCATCTCTACTAAAAATACAAAAATTAGCCAGGCACATGCTTGTAATCCCAGCTACTTGGGAGGCTGAGGCAGGAGAGTTGCTTGAACCTGGGAGGTGGAGGCTGCAGTGAGTCGAGATCACACCATTGCACTCCAGCCTGGGCGACAGAGTGAGACCCTGTCTCAAAAAAAAAAAAAATCCATCCCAGCATCCTCAGCTGGAATAACTGTCAGATGCCACTGGCTGCCCCAACAGAATTAACGGAAGCTGCCACAGCCCTCCTGACCTCATTGGACAGAACCGCGTCCCCAGCAGACACGAGCTCCTCCATCCTCTGAGCTGGCCCCGCTCCTGTCTTAGAGTGGGAAGTCCTCTCCTGCAGAGTCTGAGCTTCAGACAGGGAGGGGCGGGGACCCTTCTGTATTCCCATTGGTGTCGCCCTAAAAGGAAGAGGCTGAGGTGCCAAGTCTAACCTAGAGAGCCAACTCGAGCCAGGGTGAAGACAGCGGCCTGGAAGACCCACACCCAAGTGCGCCTGGCCGCGAGCTTGCTTCGTCCACGAGCTTCCTGGCCGCGAGCTTGCTTTGGCCTTCTTTGGCCGTCATTACAGGCAGGTTTTCAAAGGCAAAAAGGGGACATGGAGCAGGCCTGATGCAAAGCTCTTGTCAGGAATCCTCCCTGGCTCACAGAATAACACTGCTGACTGTGGTGTGGGTCACAGAACCCGATGGGTGAGATTTGTTGGTTAGGGCTCCTCGTGGCCATCACACACAGCTCCTGAAGATGAGCACATACCTCAGGGGGTAGGATGGGACGCTGGCCCCTCTCCACGTCTCTCTGGACCTGATCATATAATGAAAGGACTTGCATTCCTCACAGAAGAGTTCTTTTCTCATCAGGATCCCCATTTTCTGCTTTCTCTGAGTGTCAGAATGGGGTCCCCTGGAGAGCTGGAGCTGCTTGGGGGGGGCAGGAGAATCAAAGGAGGGAAAACTGAAGGGCTTGGACAGGGGCAGCAGCCCCCACCTACAACCAGCTTCACGGAGCAGGTCACTGTGGCTGAGAACTGGGAGGAGCCGGGTGCAGTCCCGCGCATGTATTCCCCAGACAGACCTGGGGGTTCCTGTGCCCAGAGACTGGGGGGCATAACTGCAGGCAGACAGAAAAGCCATGGAAAACATGATCCCTGCACGAGCTTGGGGCTCACCCCTGGGAGGTGGGGAGTGGTGAGGTGCCTGGAAAATGGGTGTGGAAAGAATGAAATGAGCAGAGGATTCCAGGTGTGGCCCTGGTAGAATCAGAGGATGGTCTGGGAGGATGGAGATGTAGATCCAAATCGCAGCGGGTTCGGGAAGTGAGACCTCAAGACTAGAACAATGACGTGACCCTGAGAATTTGTTTCTGGCTCCTGGCTTGAGGGTAGGGTTATGATTGATGGGTGGAGGTACACACATGCAGGCAGGCGTGTGCACCTTCTGTCTGGGACTTTGGGCAGATGTTCTCTGGGCTGAAGAATGTCCGCTAGGTGAAAATATCAGGGAAGGTGATCATCATTCTTTTTGTGTTTGGTTCGAGAGGCTGGATTTTCAGACTCGGGTGCAGGTGCACCGCCTGGAGGGACTGGTGCTGGGTGCACTTGACTCAGCCCTGCCAAGCTGTGTGCTCTGAGACAAGCCAATTGAACTTCCAGCTGTGCTATGGGAAGAATCACGCCCGTCTTGCAGGACTCCGTGGGGGACTAAGACGTAGAATCACCGGGAAAGGAAGTGTGATCTGTACCCCACCTTGCAACAGTGACTGATGTGGTTAAATCCCAGGACGGCGGGTGCGCACCCTCGCCTAGAGCAGTGGCATGCACAGGGTTGTCCTCCACAGTGAGGAGGGGACACAACCAGACCCACTCCCGACCACATTACGCACAGATAGCAACACTGAGGGTCTCGGTTACAAAGGAGTGGAACGTGTGGGGGTGGGGGCCTTTCACAACC